TTATACATCAATAACAGACAAACAGAGAGCCAAATCATCAATGAACTTCCATTCACAATAGCTTCAAAGAGAATAAAATACCTAGGTATCCAAATTACAAGGGATGTAAAGGACCTCTTCAAGGAGAACTACAAACCACTGCTCAGTGAAATAAAAGAGGACACAAACAAATGGAAGAACATACCATGCTCATGGATAGGAAGAATCAATATTGTGAAAATAGCCATACTGCCCAAGGTAATTTATAGATTCAATGCCATCCCCATCAAGCTATCAATGAGTTTCTTCACAGAATAGGAAAAAACTGCTTTAAAGGTCATAGGGAACCAAAAAAGACCCCATATTGCCAAGACAATCCTCAGCCAAAAGAACAAAGCTGGAGGCATCACGCTACCTGACTTCAAACTATACTACGAGGCTACAGTAACCAAAACAACATGGTACTGGTACCAAAACAGAGATACAGACCATGGAACAGAACAGAGCCCTCAGAAATAATACCACACATCTACAGCCATCTGATCTTTGACAAACCTGAGAGAAACAAGAAATGGGGAAAGGATTCCCTATTTAATAAATGGTGCTGGGAAAATTGGCTAGCCATAAGTAGAAAGCTGAAACTGGATCCTTTCCTTACTCCTTGTATAAAAATTAATTCAAGATGGATTAGAGACTTAAATGTTAGACCTAATACCATAAAAACCCTAGAAGAAAACCTAGGTAATACCATTCAGGACATAGGCATCGGCAAGGACTTCATGTCTAAAACACCAAAAGCAACAGCAACAAAAGCCAAAATTGACAAATGGGATCTCATTAAACTAAAGAGCCTCTGCACAGCAAAAGAAACTACCATCAAAGTGAACAGACAACCTACAGAATGAGAGAAAATTTTTGCAATCTATTCATCTGACAAAGGACTAATATCCAGAACCTACAAAGAACTCAAACAAATTTACAAGAAAAAAACAACCCCATCAAAAAGTGGGCAAAGAATATGAACAGACCCTTCTCAAAATAAGACATTCATACAGCCAACAGACACAAGAAAAAATGCTCATCATCACTCACCATCAGAGAAATGCAAATCAAAACCACAATGAGATACCATCTCACACCAGTTAGAATGGCGATTATTAGAAAGTCAGGAAACAACAGGTGCTGGAGAGGATGTGGAGAAATAGGAACACTTTTACACTGCTGGTGGGACTGTAAACTAGTTCATCCATTGTGGAAAACAGTGTGGCAATCCCTCAAGGATCTAGAACCAGAAATACCATTTGACCCAGCCATCCCATTACTGGGTATATACCCAAAGGATTATAAATCATGCTGCTATAAAGACACATGCACATGTATGTTTATTGCGGCACTATTCACAACAGCAAAGACTTGGAATCAACCAAAATATCCATCCGTGACAGACTGGATTAAGAAAATGTGGCACATACACACCATGGAATACTATGCAGCCATAAAAAAGGATGAGTTTGTGTCCTTTGCAGAGACATGGATGCAGCTGGAAACCATCATTCTCAGCAAACTATCACAAGAACAGAAAACCAAACACTGCATGTTCTCACTCATAGGTGGGAACTGAACAATGAGATCACTCGGACACAGGAAGGGAAACATCACACACTGGGGCCTACTGTGGGGAGTGGGGAGGGGGGAGGGGGGAGGGATAGCGTTAGGAGATATATCTAATGTAAATGACGAGTTAATGGGTGCAGCACACCAACATGGCACATGTATACATATGTAACAAACCTGCACGTTGTGCACATGTACGCTAGAACTTAAAGTATAATAATAAAAAATAATAATCTATAAGAAAAATATTCTTCCTCTTATATAAAAATTATTTTCCAAATATTTGCTACATAGTAAAGTTTGTATTTTGCCTCAGTTTATCGGATTTAGAATTTATCTCAAAGGGATATACCGGTCAGTATACTGAGACAACCTTAACAATGTTCAGAGAAGATTTCGTAACTGAGTAATGAAAACAAGAAAGCAGCCACACAATAGTGACCAAATAATGCTTTCATCTTATGTGCGTGTGCGCATGCACGTGCGCACACACACATACACAGAGAAATGGTAACTATATACATATTAAAAGTAAGAGAATATCTCTGTGTAAATAAAATTTTAAAATGTTTTAAATTGTATAAAAACTATAAAACTCTTTGTGGATGATGCCTTTTTTGTGTGTTTTTAACAAAACTTTATAAAGACCAATACATACAACGAAATAAAGTAAAAGCTCTTGTTTCTGAGTCTGGTATTTTTTTTCAAGTTTTTGTTGTGTTTATTCTATGTGCTATTATATATTTTAGAATTTTAAGACAATAGATATATTTGTTATATGTTAATTCTTATTCTTTCTCTGAAAATATAAAGATAAATAAGCATATGCTTATGACATGAGATGAAATAAAATGGAAACCTACAATACTGAGACCTGCTTCAGAACTTCCAGTCTTAAAAGCTGTTATCTCCTGTCAACAAACGTGAGAGCCTTCACTCTGCAAAGAAAGCTACAAACACAGGGAAACCAAAAAGAAATGGGAGTCTCTGGATTAAATGTGATGGTTTATACACACACTCAGTCAATCCTCCCTCCTAGATACTCATTAAAGACCAAGAGAAAAATGATTATAGTGAAGCATTCTGGCAGAGGGCACCTGAACCAAGTAAATGAAGTTAGCATTATCTGTAATAAGACAAGTTGTATCAGTGCTGACGCACAGACAGGCCCATAATCATTGCTGTGATATGGGTGGAGGGGAAAAGTAAAGCATAATATAATCATAAAAAACAATCTGTGGGGGAAGATACAGATGACATAGTTCTTCAAACTGGCCATGTGACCCTACTTAGAAGCTGGGGTTGAGAATCACTTAGCTAAGCATTGCCTCTCAAGGTTCAATATGCATACATATCATTTGGTATTCTGGGCCCCCTCTAAGTAATGTGATTCTGCAGGTTTGAAAAGTTTCCATGAACTGGCTTCTTTAACAAGTCCCCTGTCAATGCTGATGTTGCTCCTCCTAGACCCAATATCAATAGCACTCAGCTAGAGGAAGCAGAGACAGCATGAGTCCCTTACACCCAATACTCTAATCACAACAAAAATACTTTTTGGGCCCGGCGCAGTGGCTCACGCCTGTAATCCCAACACTTTGGAAGGCCGAGATGGGCAGATCACAAGGTCGAGAGATCGAGACCATCCTGGCTAACACGGTGAAAGCCTGTCTCTACTGAAAATACAAAAAAATTAGCCGGGCGTGGTAGCGGGCGCCTGGAGTTCCAGCTACTCGGGAGGCTGAGGCAGGAGAATGGCGTGAATCCAGCAGGCGGAGCTTGCAGTGAGCCAAGATCGCGCCACTGCACTCCAGCCTGGGTGACAGAGCGAGACTCCGTCTTAAAAAAACAAACAAACAAAAAAAACTTTTCGTTCACAGCGAGGACCACCAATCACTGTCCTGAAAGATCACATCCTTTGCCAGCCATTTAAAGCTAACAGATACAGAGACTGGAGAAGACAGTTAGGTCTAAATCAGCATTTGGAAAACAACATGGAGACATGCATGAAAGCAGTGTTTACTGAGCTTGTACTATGTGCTCACAGTATGCACTGTGCTGGGAACATCACATGGTGCGAGTTAAGCCACATAAACCTCTGGGATGTGGCTCCTGAGTATCCCATAATTCCCAGCAGGATTTAGATAATGGCCCAGCCTTTCTATTTCTTCTTGTTTCCCTATCACTATAAAAGCTAACTATAGACAGACGGGAGGGATACAGAAAGGAAGGGGCCAAGTTTAGTTCAGAAGAATTTCTCCACTGGGCGCGGTGGCTCACGCCTGTAATCCCAGCACTCTGTGAGGCCAAGGTGGGTGGATCATTTGAGGTCAGGAGTTCAAGACCAGCCTGGTCAACATTGTGAAACCCTATCTCTACTAAAAATACAAAAATCAGCTGGGCATGGTGGCACACCTGTAATCCCAGTTACTCGGGAGGCTAAGGCAGAGAATCACCTGAACCAGGAAGGCAGAGGTTGTGTAAGCTGAGATTGCGACACTATTCCACAGCCTGGGCAACAGAGTGAGATTCAGTCTCAAAAAAAAAAAAAAAAAAAAAGAAGAAGAAAAAGAATTTCTCATTATTCTCTTTATATCTTTACACTGACTTTGTTACAACTTGTAGAGCAACTACTGGATCTGCAGAAATGAAAAAGAGGTTGCCAGGTGGAATGTTTCTAGAGGTACTGGTTTCAATAAGAAAAAAATTTAATTTTCAAATAATTTTGAAAAAGTGAGTCCTTTACTCCCATTCATCTGCTTTTGGGTTTGGGGAAATTGTGAGCACCACCTCTGAAAAGATGGCAGCAGCAGCCACCCTGAAGTCTGATCTCCTCTAGTCAGTTCTATGAGGGGAGGCTCCAGGGTAGGGGCAGACCTGGACCAGGCACAGAAGAGGATGGATTTGGGCAGGGCTGGCGCAGGGGCTGGGCTAGACTTCTTGTCTCTACATTGCTGCTTTATTTTCAGTTGTGTTTCCTAAGCCTGACCAACAAGAACTTGACTCCCATGGGTTGCCTTGTTTTAATAGTTTAAGCTTCATTCTATTTTGTAACATGCAACAACAAACAATTTAACCAAAACGCATAGGGCTTTCTAGGAAAATTATATTAGTAGCTACATATTATCTTTAACAAGAAAAAAGCAATATAAATAATCATTATAATAACAACTCTTTTGTCCATGGGTGGCCCTTCAGGTGGTGACATCAGAACTCACAACGTCAACATAAGGGCAGTGTCCCAAACCAAGTCCAAGTTCCCTGTACACCTCTGTTCTTGCTCCTGACCACATGATGTTGAATTCAACCATTATCCATCTGCTCTAGACTGAAAGTTCCTGGATGGTAGGGACTATGGCTGCTGCATCTGTTTTCCTAGTGGCCATATGAAATGGAAGCAATTGGTTTACCTATCAGTATGAGTCTCCAGGCCTCCTCCTTGTATTTCACCCACACATTAGAAAACTGGAGCAACTCCCACTTGGATACCAAATAAGGAGATTCCTTCTGTTAAAAGAGAAACAAACCCTGATGACTCATTCCTCTCCCTCTGAGACAGAAGCAAGATTAGCCCATTGTCAGCCTGTCCCCTGCCTGCACAGGATATAACCAAGTGTCTCAAGGACCCCTAGGTGCTGGTGAGATAGTCCCTGTAACTGTGTGATGAAAACCCAATAGTGATTCAGGCAGGAAAGACTCAAGTTGTCCTTGTGGAACCAGAATAGTAAATTGAGTTGTCATCATAGGGCCACAGATCCAGGATCCAGATATGTTATTAACTATACCTGATCAGCTAACTCTTAGGTACAAGAAAGGACAAGATTACCCTACTCCAGTAACACAGCTCACAGGTAGGTGCAGCTTCACTCACGGCTCCCTCCCTCTGCTAAGGTGCTGCTTTACACTTACAGATTCTGCCACGAAATTCTGTTTATACAAAGTCCATGTTGATCTCTCACAATGCAGAAAACGTTCCCTGGATTTTCTATATATCCTGAGTCCAAAGTCTGGCCCTGTCTCGTGGATCCCAGGTGGAGACCAGCCTTTATGTGCAGACTCCAGGTGGGATCAACCTGGCTCTGCATTCTTGGGTGTTGCTGTGAAGAAAACTAGAGGAGACAGCCCCTCAGGAAGGCTGCTCTCACACATCCTGGAGAACCCCAGGACCTGGGTTCAGAATTCACAGCTGCACATTTAGGTGTTGGAGGGGCAGGGAAGTGGCATGCACCTTCTGCACATTCATGGGCATTTGGGCAAGAGGATGAAGGGAACGTTGAGATTCTCAGGCCTACTCAACGCATGTGTGTGTGCCTGGTTGGTTTCCAGGCCCCATGGTCTTTGAATCAGTTTCAGGTCTGAAGATGCCAGGGGCATGGAAAGACAGAGCTGGAATGGCTAACTGACTGATGCTCTGTGAACTTATTTTTGTAGAAATGTAGCCAAACGGTTCTAGAAGGGACTGAAGATTCCAAGTAAGCAGAGAGACCATTCTGCCTGCAGATTTTGGGAGTTGTTGCACAATTGTGGGTTGTGAACAGAAATCAAAGAGGGAAAGGACCCTCTGGAGTGAAGTCTTACAGGCACCTTACAGGTTTATATTCTGTATGGTAATTCTGGGCAATGTTTGAAAAATATAATGAAGAAGAAAATCATAAAATCATCTCCAACCCCAGAAAAACTATCCATAGTGGTAGAAAAGAAAGAAAACTCTTTTGTGACATAATTAGCCCAGAATGTAAAGGACATGATAGGCAACCTGCTAAGAGATTAGAAAAACACCCACTGGTGAAAAGTCACCATAATTAGTCCTCAATAGAAGACCTGACAGCACCATTCATCAGATAGAGTTCATTCTAAATTCACCTGGGAATTGGGAGGCCATCTGTGTTTTTTAATTGGCTACAGTCAAAGGAAAAATAAACTTCATGTCTTCGTGACAGGCAGATTTGCAACTTGGAGCCAGATGCCTGCTCTCCTAGAGAAACTGTGGGATACCGCTCTATCTTCTTTGCTATTTACATTTAGAGAAAGGCAGTACTGAGTCAAAAAAGACTGACAAATGACCTATTTAGCTGTTAGAGTAATTTAGACAGATTGTAAAACAGAAAAATAATTTACATATGAAAGTTTTCTAAAGTAAATGCTTTAAGGAAAAAAAAGAGAAAAATTTCTTTCCTTATTTTCAAGAAGGATTAAGTCTTGTATGTATTTCTAATTTGTATTTGCTCTTACAACAGCCAAGTCTAGGGCCATGGTCTTGAGCTCATGGACATCTGAGTTCCAATAGGTGCTGGATTCAGGCACCTGTGGGGTGACCTTGGGAACACTGGGTACACATAAAGAAGGGGCTTGTGGGGAAGTAAAAGGCAGAACAGAGGAAGGTGCTATCGAGCCATGAGCAGACGGTAGTACCAAGTTGGTGGAAGGACTGGTTTGTGCTACAGATACTGGCCCAGGTGGGGCTATGCTCTGACATATTCCTGGGTCCATGCAGGCAGATGAGATTATGATTGGATGGTCCACAAGCCTAGTTTGATGGAGAAACCAGGCCGCTGCTACGGATTCAGTGTCTAGGATTACAACAAGCCAGGAGTCCTCAGGCACTTGAGTGGGTTTTTGGCAGGAAACTGGAAGCAAAGGTGCTATGGATGTAATTCCTGACGGTCAAGCCTTCTCCTGGGAGGGACGGGGACATGTCAATGCCTAGTTGGTATGTTCAGGAGTGGGTGGGAATCATGCAGTAGCAGCTGGGTGGGGGAGGGGGTCTCTTCTCAGAACGTCTTTCCTCTCAGTCTTCAGTCCCCTCTCAACCTAGCAGGAGACCTGGAATCAAAGGACAATGCACAGTGGGGCAACCTGTGTGCAGAACAGAGCCTCCCTTCCCCCAGACACTTGGGAGTCTCTCTCCAACCCAGGCCTCTGTGAGGTCTGTCTTCTGACACCAAATGTGTAGAGTTTGCTGAACACCAACCAATCCTCCAACATCAACTGAGTGCCAACAACTTAATTCTGACACCACGCAGAGTCAGCACAGGCCCCACAAGTTCTGGGCTCTGTTCCACAACACTGCCCCCACTTCAGATGCCAGTTACAATGCCTGGGGCACTATCTATACTTCCAAGCTACTGCCTGTAAATCGAGGGCACCCATAACCCTATCCTTAAGTTCAATCATTTCAAAGATCTATTCAAATAACTCAGCAAATCGCTTTACTTATGTTTATCAGGTTATCATAAGGATACAGTTCAGAACAGCCAAATGAGATAAATACATACAGGGCAAAAAAAAAAAAAAAAAAAAAAAAAAAAAAAAAAGGAAAAAATAAGGGAAAACAACTTAATAAAAACACTACGCAGAATCAGCACCGGCCCCACAAGTTCTGGTCATGGGGAGGTCTGTCTTTGACACCAAATGTGCAGAGAGAGTTTCAAAGAACACTCCAACCCAATCCCTCCACACCAACTGGAGGCTACTCAACTATGACTCTGATTACCTAATAGGACAGCACACAGGCCCTCCCAGCTGCCTGGTCGCCTCTGCTGTCCCCACGGCTCACCCCCACTCTAGAGTGCAGAAGCAATGCTCTAAATTCATTCATATATCTGCTTGGAACAAACAAACCCAAAGAGGGTGGGTAAACTTACAACTTATCCTTGGGTTCAACCACCTGTTTCAAAGATCTACACCTGGGAAATAACACAGCAATCATACATTTTAAGTGCTTACTTTGTAAGATTATCAGCATGGATACAGAGTCTGGAACAGCCAAATGAGATAAATACATGTACAGGCAAACAGTGGAAAAGACAGGAGAATCAGGTACAGAAGTGTGTGATTATTGGAAGAAATCCTCTAATTTCTTAGAAGTCTCTCCAAGAACAGCTTTAACAAAACCCTGTTTGTCATTGGTGACTGATGATGCCCCCGATCAGTCACTCAGCAAAGCCGGGCAGACTCTAAACTTTCTCTCTGACCAGGCTGAAACACTGGTCTGGCCTCAGTGTCCTGGGTAATTTCAACCCAAATGAACCTCAGCCCCTGAGTACTTCTCCCCAGTTGCTGGATTCTCATGGACATGCACCCAAAGCCTGCAATTGGCTAAGAATTCATTAACCCCCTCCTGGAAAGCCTCTCCTGTGGTGGTGTGAAGAACAGGCTGGGCACGACACTTCAGAGCAATGACTTGATCTGTAAACCTGAGAGCAGAAAAAAAAAAAAAAAAAAAAAAAAAAAAAAAAACAGTGGGAAAAGATAGGAATAGTAACCTAGTAAATAGCTGTGATTAAAGAAATCCCCCATCTTTTGTGTTCTCCAAGAACAGCTTACTGCAAAAAACCAGCCTATTATGACTTCGATGATGCTCCCTGATTCAGTCATCACAAAGCCACAGACTCTCCAAATTCCCCTTCTGACTCAGCTGAACAGTTCTGTCTTCAGTGTTCAGAATAAACTACTTAACCAAACTTTATATTTTTCTCCAAGTTGCTGGACTTTGACACACCCACAGCCTGGTCAACATTCAACCCCTCCCTAAGCCCCTCCTAAGAACAGGCTGACATCAGAGTGAAACATTCTCTGATCTAGAATCTGATATTGGCATCTTAATCCTGCCCTTCCCCTCCTGCCTTCTGAGCTTGTTTGCTCCTCCCTGTGAAAGAAAGTCTTTGTCTGCCTAACCTTTGAGATCCACAAAGATCTTACAGCTGGTGCTTTCCCCCTGTTGCAATACTCCTTTAGAATTAAGGAACTTCTTACCTAAACCTGAATTGGTTTTATTTGACAAAATCAAGTAAAATGTGGGGAAGGAACTGGAAACTTAATATTTTACTGCAAGCCTCAAGTTAATCTGGGGGAACACAGTGTGGCAGAGATTTGAGACTCTGCATGCCAAATATTAGGAAAACACAGGGGGAAAACCAGTTGTCAAGGGCAGTGTTAAAATGATTAATGAGTAGGTGATTATATGGAAGTGGTTGTAGTGCCCTGGGTTTTCAGGGAGAAAAACCAAAACCAGTACAACAATTTCTATCCTCAGAAAGAGCCTCCCAACCCTAACTGCCTCTTTCTGTGGATTTTCAGCTTTCAGCTTTCCAGGGCTCTGTAGCTTCTCAGTATAAAGGGCTTCTTCCATGATTGGGGTGAGCAGGCTGGGACATGTGCAGGGGAAACTCCCCTGGAAGAACTAACTGGGCTTCAGTAACCTCTTCTTGCAGGCTCAAGACTGGGTTAGTTTGCACTCACTGAGCTCAGGCTTCTGCTTCCCAGTCAGGGTTATTCAATTAGTATTTAATGAGAAAATGCCCAGTGCTTGAAGAAAGAAAAACTACTCAAACAGCATTTATAGAACAAAGGAAACTGAAACGCCTTTATAATTTATACCTCAACAGAAAATACAAAAGTATCTATCCCTTTCAGACAATAAATAGGCCACTTATTTCCATGATAACAGATCATTTAGTAAATATATATAAACGATTCTAGCAGGTGCTAAGTTCGGCATTAAAGCTGCACATCCAAGGCCAGGCATGGTGGCTCATGTCTGTTATCCCAGCACTTTGGGAGGCCAAGGCAGGAGGATCGCTTGAGCCCAGGAGTTTGAGACCACTCTGGGGCAACACAGTGAGACCCACATCTCTACAAAAAGAAAAAACAAAATAGCCAGCCATGGTGGAGCACCCCTGTAAGTCCCAGCTACTAGGAACTAGGAAGGCTGAGGTGGGAGAATCACTTGAGCCCAGGAGGTTGAGTGAGCTGTAATCACACCACTGCACTTCGGTCTGGGTGACAGAGGGGAGATCCTGTCTCCAAAAAGCAAAAAATAAAAAATAAACTCAACATCCAGACAAGAGGACAAAGAACAAAGATATCCACTGTCATAACTTCTTCACCCTACAAAAAAAAGAAACTGATGTTTTGATGAAACTATGTAATTCACCAATTAATCTACCACACATTGTTGTGAAAATGTATTCACTTTCTACAGCCAATAATGAAAGAAAGATTTTCTCCATTTCTTTTCCCTGGCAGCATTTCCAAAAGGTGAGCCCTGAGATTGTTTTAAATTACTCTCAAAAAAAGAACAAACCTGACAAACTTACTACACTCACTCAGCTGAAAAAAAAGTAAGAATTTTTAACAATGAATTACATGACTTGATATTTTAATTTTCTGAAATCCACCTTTCACGGCCTTGGAAATGTTTTTTATCTTTCAAGCTCTACTGATTACATTTACACTAATTGAAAAACTGAAGTAGAAATAAATGAACAAATCTTTCTAAGGCAGCACACTCAGGGAGTGGTAATGCTGATTGAAACACAAGACACAACTGGCTCAAGTGTCAAGTCGGGTCACGGTATCATCTGGGACATTCTCCTACCCCAATACTGCTCATTAAAATGCTCAGGGACCATCCTCCCAGGAGATCCTGCACTGTGCCCCCATGGACACTGCAGCCGAGTTTGCAGCACCTCACTGCGGTGGGGTTTTTGTTTTTTGGTCCTTTGGGAGTTTTTCTCCCTTCACAAATCTGAATGAATCCGGGGGCAGGAATCATTTGTGACTGTTTACTCTCAATACCAGCAAACAATTGGCTGACCAGCAATGTGTCTCCAAGGGATGAAAACTAGCTTTGAAGAACTAAAATTCTTATGTCCCAAAGGGTTATCTTTTTAGGTTAAGGGTGTCCCAGGAGATTTCTCTCAGCCCCAGGGCATCCAGCTGCTCCCCTGGGGGGCTACACTTCCATACCTTGGGCCATCCTCTAACAGGAGGTGACCTGGGGCTGACAATCACTAAACAGTTCAAGAGACATGGCCACTGTGGGCATCTTGAGTCATCCCAGACAGTACTGAAATTCAGGAACAGGAAAAGATTGGATAGAGGGTGGCTATACAGGGCCCTGTGCAAAACCTCAAGTCAAAAGACATTCTTTCTGATAACGTATCTGTGCCTAGGGAAGATGAATGAAAAAGAGGCACAAAGATTTTTTTTGCAGTGGAGTGTCAGGGACTTTTTTATTCTCTGCTTTCCTCTCACGTGAAATGTATACCAAAATAACACAAATCTTTAAAAAAGTGTCATCCACTGCTCTGTGAAATCATGATTAATGAGTAAAATACTCTGTCTGAAATGTACAGTAAATGACCAGTAGTTAATAACGTTGCGAATTGGAGAGAGGAAGTTAGCCTTTGGAAATGTCGGGAAGGAACTGGAAATTTAATATTTTACTGCAAGCCCCGTTAGACTGGGAGAACACAGTGGTGGATTTGAGACACTGCGTGCCACACACGTTAGGAAACCGCAGGGGAAAACCAGTTCCCCTGGGCAGTGTTAAGATGATTAACGAGCAGGCGATTATACGGAAGTGGTTATAGTGCCCCAGGTTTCTAGGGAGAAAAACCAAAACCAAACTCACATGCATTTCTTGTAAATTACAACTTTAGAGGAAAACAAAATTCAGACTTAACGAACCACAGAGCTCCAATTCACCTCCACCTGCATAGTCTAAATAAGGCAACCACAGAACTGTAACCCATCGGTTAATCTGGTCCGCTTACTCATGCACCTTATAAAAAACATTTCCTTCAAGCCCCTGTGGGGACCTCCGAACCACAAACCAGGACTGCAGGTTTCCCACGTCACAAATCGCTATTTGCTCAAATTCTTCAACGTTTTAACAGTGACTCCCTTTAATTCTTAATAGGAGAAAGGAGTGACTGAGAACCCTATGGGGCACAGTTTCTCCCCACGCACGAACCACACACCGAACCTGGGTCTCCCCTGAGACGCTCCCGTCCTCACCGCACAATCTTGGGGAGAGGCGGGGCTGCGGCGCGGAGCCACCCAGAGAGGGCTCTGGCCAGGGCCGAGGTCGCTCTGCGGGGTCGGGTCGGGACGGGACGGGACAGGACGCGAGGGGTCCCGGCTGCCGGCCTGGCCGCCATCTTGCAGCGGAGGAGACCGAGGGCCGAGCTGCGCCCGCTGGGACTCGGGAACCAGACCCCGGAGCTGACTGCGGGGAGGCCCAGGTGCCCCTACAGCGGGTTCTCGCCGCTTCCGACCACCCCCTTCCCCGCTCTGGGGACCCCCGACCCCGCACACTCACCATTTCCCAGCTTCCGGGATGCTCTGGCGTCTTAGCTACGGATCTCCCAGTGCCTGGCAGGTCACAGAACAACAGAGACTGTTTATTCTCAGAACGTGAAGCTGCCTGGGCCTTCCAGAACTAAAGACTCACGGCTGTGGTGAAGAGACCCGACCTCTAACTGGAGCCGACAAAGGCCCCCGCCAAATCCCGGAAGCCGCCCCTGCTCCCCGGCTTCACTCCTGATTGGATGGTTTCCATTCCAGCGCCCCTGATTGGATAAAGCTCCATGCCCCGCCCCCTCATTATTAGTGGTTTTTTTATTTTTATTTTTTATTTTTTTGAAAGGGAGACTGGCTCATTGAGGTGGGGCCGCCTGCCGCGGGTATTACAGCTAATTAAGCGGTGAGCTGCGACTTGAAATGCACTTGCTCTTTCCCTTACCTGGTTCTGCTTGTATAAGACATCTTATTAGCTAATTAAGAAGTACATTTAGACACATTTAAAGCAAGAAAGACCCTCATCCCGTACCACACTGTACCCCACTGCTAACGCCACCGTGGGAGGGGGCCCCTCAGCTGGGAACAGAAGACTGTACACTTCATTCACGTGTTTTCAATTAGGCCTTTGCATGATACATACACTGAACCAGTACAAAAGCATCTTATAGGGGCACGCAGGCTGGGGTCCCAGGAGGATGTTGCGGGCGGTGGTGGAACGTGGAAGAGGGGCTGGCCTCTTCTTCTAATCTACAACTCTGCCTCCATCTCCTGGAGTCTGCATCACTGGCAAGGGGGTCGCTGACTGTCCGTCTGTCTCTCCTCAATCCCTTCAAGCTCAGGGAAGAAGGGTCCTTGGCAGCAACAGGGCTGGGAGCTCAGTTCCTCTGGGCCCTGCTGGCTCAGGCTCAGTGGCCATGGACTCCTCAGCCCTACCTCTGGTTTTTGTTTTTGTTTTGAGACAGGGTCTCACTCTATTGCCCACGCTGGTGCAGTGGTGCAATCATGGCTCACTGCAGCCTCCAGGGCTCAAGCAATCTTCCCACCTCAGCCTCCTGAGTAGCTGGGACTACAGGCACATGCCACCATGCCCGGCTGATTTTTGTATTTTTTGTAGAAATAAGGTTTCACCATGTTGCCCAGGCTCGTCTCGATCTCCTGAGCTCAAGCGATCCTTCCACCTTAGCCTCCCAAGTAGCTGGGGCTACAGGTTAGTAGTCAGTTCTCCAACTCCTGAGTTCAAGTATTCTGTCCGCCTTGACCTGCCAGAATGCCCTATCCCTGTTTTTCTGGAGTCTTGGAGCTAGTGGCGCTGCAGCACCTCTGCTTTCAGATTCTCCTAGTCTTCCCGCTGAGTAGAAGGTGGAAGAGGAGGTGGGTGTCAGACTGGGCCAGGGCCCTAGGCCCCCATCTAGCTTGGTTAAACTCCCAGTTGGGACAGATGAGGCTCTGTGCCTGATTCAGTGAGACGCGTGGAACAAGTACTTCCCTCCCAAAAGCAGAAAGATCCCTGATTGCTGACAGTCAGGATTCCATGCACTTGACTCGGCCTGGGGCCCGGCTGCCTCTCACCCTCACACCCGGTTCCAATCGCTGCACTCTGTGGCCTCTCTGCCACCAGATTAGGTGTAGATAATGGGTATGGGGTGGGGCTGCTGACACCACTGGCTGACCAAACCCCTTTCCCACACTGAAGGGAGAAAAGGCAGGAGGTTAGGGGCTCCCAAAGGCAGCACTGCTTGTGACAGCACCGCGGGAGTCCTTAGGGCCTACTAAGGGGCTGGACTGAAACTCAGGATCAACTTTGTCTGACTCCAAAGACCATGCACCTCCATGGACCTCACAACTCAAGCAGCTTCCCTAGGCCTTTGAGATCCTGGAGACTGACTCTTCTGCAATAGAAGAAAGATTCCTTTTGATTCTCATCCTTCTAGTACTCTTCACAATTGGAAATAATCCCCACCAGAGAATGCTTCTGAAATGTCTTGGAAACATTTAGAATAATTTGGGGAAATGGCTGAAGGCTGGGTTTAAGAAATCAAGGCCTAACATTCTATTTTTCATTTCTTATGGGAGAGATTTGAAAGCACTTATAATACACTCAATATGTCTGCAAATTATTTTTGTCCCCTTTCAGTATTTGTAGGCTGTTGATGATTTTCAATACAGATTAACTCAAACTACTGTGCCTGATACAAACTTTTACTCTGAAAGCAAGAGACACAAAGGTATATCTGCTGAGAAGACATTTTCTCCTGCTACAATTTAGCCAAACAGCTGAGTACGTCTTAAAGTCAGTCCTTGATTTCTAACAAGTCAAGCTATTTGCCAAGACCACAATCAGCATATGACTGCTTCAACTACTTCATCATACCAAAAGATTGACCAGACAGATCGAAGCTCTGAGGGTGGAGTGGTGAGAGGACCCGCACTAGCAGGTGGGCAGCCATAGGTTCATAGGTGAGAATCACTCATTAGGTGGGGTGTTTTGAGGTCCTGATATTTATGACACAATTAATGTGTATATTACTAAAAGTAAATTATAGAACATTACAAATAATACATATATAAACTAAGCATGTCAGCAATTACAACTACTGTTATTCATCATTATTCTAAGTGTGATCATTATTATTACCACAGTTAGAAATAGTAGTTGTGGTTGCTGCTGCTGCTGCTGTTGCTGGAGGGATGGTGATAAAAACACCAAGTAAGGTTCTGCTGCCTCCTCCACCTATGGCATCGGGAGCTGCTGGTTCACTAGTTTGATGCACACTCTGGACCTCTTTGGTGAAGTTGCAGCTGGAGAGGCTTCAGGCTCCGCTATAGCAGAATTTGAAGATGGCAGGTAGGATGGTCCTGGGGTGCAGTTGATGGTGAAGAGGTGCATACTACTTAGTGAATGAGTGGAAGCCTTTGGTGAAAGGCAGAGTTTGTCCATGACACAGATCAGATTCCACTTTGACTGGGGCCAATTAGTGAAACAGACACATCTGCAGAACTGGAAATGGAGGACAAAGATTCAGTTGATGTGTTCCAGAAGCAGACAGGAGTGTCTACTGAGAACATACTCACTGCTTTACCCCAGAACTCTGTTCCTACAGACCAAGCAGACATTCTCACGTAGAAAATTGCAATATGGTTCCATCACGTCTACTGGTCCAGCATCCCTTTCTCTATTCTTCACTTTCCTGTTCCTCATTCCTTTATTGTACATAAATTATCAGGGGTAGCTGTACAGACATATTGATAATTTTTGTTTGCTTGCTTGTTTGTTTGTACTGAATGAACAATGATCATTGATTTCCAATGACCATTGGGTCACTGGTGTTGAGTGATTTCCAATGAAGGCAGGTGAGGGAAAACACTGGTTCTGTGAAAAGACTCCCTTTCTCCACCAGGGGCTGCTCACTCACCATTTATCTCTCTATTCCAGGACTTTAACAACAATATAAAAAATACAATGATCCTTTAGGCTTGTTGGGAGCAGGAAAAAATAAAAGGGAATAACCCTTGCATACATTGTTCAATTAGAAAATTTTATTTTAAAAAATATATCATTGTAACGCTAAGGACAATTTTATAACTTTTTAAATGGAGCTATTACACACAGAACAAATCTGTCCTCACACAGGATAAGTGACAAATAAAAGAACAGAACAAATTCCAGATATGTTCTTCTTCAAATCTAGGATCTGGTTGTTTAAATACACATCTTGTGTAACATGAAAAGAAAAAATGTAGTATATAAATCAAAACAGGAAGTAAAGTTTCTCTAGTCACCAAGTATGTTGGTTGGACTGAAAATGAGGAAGAAGGGGTTTCCGTCTGCAATAAGTTTGAAGTCCCCCCAGGAGCCAGGGAACTGTCCACACCCTCTGAGGCTAGCCCACTCCTCTTCCGCGTGGGGCAGGGTACCTGTGAGATTTCCATGCCCTGACCCATGAGGTACATGGAGGGTGGGAGGTTGTCTATCTCACACCCAGGCAGATATCCTTGTTCCAGGGCCCTCTGGTAGATATTCCCAGGATCTCCGTAGGCTGCCAGGGTCACACCCCTCCAGAAAAGTTATATAGGTAAATTGTTCTTAGGGGTCAGTCCATGGGTGATACCAAGCCACATTGCACCCTGGATAGAGGGCAACACATCTCATGCAACTGCAAACTACAGTAAAGCTCAATCTGCTGACAAAATCTGAGAGGCAGGAAATGAGACGTCCTCCTTATGCTTTGAAGGAAAAGACAACAGGCTAGAAGTGGTTGGCTCATGTGTTCATGACTGCCATTGTCAGGGTGAGCTGAGAAGTGCATGAGCTCAGAAAAGGACTGTGCCACATGATAAGCTGGAGGGGGTGTGACAGGAGAGAGAGGAAGATGACAAATAGACTACGGGAAGCAAAATGGAAGTTCCGCTTCATGGAAACATAGTACATTCTTTCCTCACAGTGAAGAAAAAAGGAAGAAGAAAGAAACTTGAAGACAGGCTTTATTTTAAAAGGAAAAAATATATTCTATAACAAAGTCCTAAGTAGTCTGTGGATGGCATATCTGTGCCTTCATGCAATGATTGGGCGAAACCTGCTACCACCACATCAATCAAATTGGCAACAGCATTCCAAAAAAGTAAGAAAAAAAAATAATGGGGTGTGTACTCTTGCCAAAGACACCCAAAAAACTCAATTTCTATGCATTACGATGAGAAGAAAAGAAAAATTACCCAGATTGAATCAGGGACGGAACTAATCACTCCTGGGATGAAATGCACGCAAATGTGTATTTCCGTGTGTGTGTAGTGTGTGTGTGTGTGTGTGTGTACTGTGGTGTGTTTGCCACTGAGTATGAGAAATGCTGCCTGTTTGAATTAAAGGAAATGCTCTGAGTTTAAACAAAAGTAAAGTCCTGTGGAATCCAGAATCCTCCCACCTAGTAGGTGGCTCTTCAGCCTCAGGTTTCAGTCTCAGCTCCTTTGAGAGCAGCCACGCAGAAGACCAATTGCGGTGGGTGGGGGACTTGGTGGAGGGTGCCAAAGGTTTTGTTGGGGGCTAGGCACTAATTTGGGAGAATTCTGTGAAAGAACGCATTCCCACCACAACCAGGAGCTAAGTCCTCATTTGGGCTCCAGAGGCAAAGTGGTCACTTCATTTCTCACCCCTCTGCTTTCTTCTCCACTCTGAAGTTGGTCACCAGGTGGCGGCAGAAGATCAAAGATAAATATCACTAGAACCAGAG